AAAGCACTTGCACTGCTTCTATTTTCTTTTTAATTTTAAAACTTGTTTTATTGCCACAAGTCCATTAATTAAATATCTTACTGCTCATTTTATATATAAGAAAGTTGGGAAAACAAAGGTTAAATGACTTGTTCAGAGTCTAAGTACTCATAAGTGACAGAGCAAAACAGTGTAGAGAAATAGTCTCTTCTCCAGCATCCATGTTCCTAACCACTACTCTTTCCCACCCACTGATCATCTATTATGGATGGAGCTTGGGCAGAGTTCACTGGTAAGTACATTCTCAATGCTTCTATTTTCTGAAAGAGATTGTAGAGAATTTTTATTTCTTCCTTAAATGTTAGAATTTTCCAGTGAAGCCATTTAAGGCAGGTGGTTTATTCCAGAAGGCTAGTATTTTTTGCATTTTTAGAATACCTATAGGCCTATTCTCTCTCTCTGTCTCTGTCTCTCTCTGTCTCTGTCTCTCTGTCTCTCTCTGTCTCTCTCTGTCTCTCTCTCTGTCTGTCTCTGTCTCTGTCTCTGTGTCTCTCTCTCCCCCCCCACCCCCTCTGTGCACTACTGCAAGTTGAACCCAAGGCCTTCACATTGAGTTACATCTTGCTACAGGTAGAAACAGCGAGGGGGAGGGGCATAGAGGAGGAAAGCTGCTCAATCCATGACAGCCAAAAAGCAGGGTGAGAGCGGAGAGGACGGGGAGACAAGAATATGCCTTTCCAGATTATTCCCTAGTGATCCATTTCTTCCAACCAGCTCTACCTCCTAAGAGCATATTCAGCTATACAATCATCAATGGATTAATCGAGTGATGATGTGCCCCATGATCAATCACTTCCAAAAAGCCCCACCTCTGAACACATGAAACTGGGGGACATCTTATATCTAAACCATAACACTTTGGCAAGTGTTCCATATGAGCTTGGGCAGAATATGTATTCTGCTATTGTTGGATAACAAAAGTATATAGCTGACTATCACATGGAGTTGACTGATGATTTTGGTGGGCTCAGTTATGTCCTTATTTAATTTCTGTCTTCTGGACTTGTCCACTTCTGGTAGAACTATGCTGAAATCTCTAACTATAACAGCCACTGCACAGTGGTATGTCCTTTAAGTTGTAACACCTATTTCCTCAGATGTTTTCTTGCTCTGTTTTTAGGTACATGCATGTCAAGTGCAGTGAATGTCTTCTCGGAGAATAAACCCTTTTATCATTACCTAATGCTGTCTTTATCCCCGGTCTTACCTTATAGTGTGCTCACTCTGCAATTAACATCGGAGATACTGCTTTCTTTCGGGTAGTGCTAGTACGGCATATCTTTCTCAATCCATTTACTTTTTGTGTGTCTTTTAAAAGTGGGTTCTTATATATAACAATAGTTGGAGCTTGTTTTTGATCCTCTATAATAAATTTTATTAATTGGTGCATTAAAATCATTCACTTTCAAAATGATTATTGACACAGCTGGATACTTATTGACCATAAATATTACTGTTTTATATTTTTTGCCCTTGTTCTTCATTCCTATTTTTTCTTCCACTCTTTTTCTGCCTTACATGCTTTCAATTTTAGATGACTTTATTTTCCTCTTTTATATTTCTTTCCTTTTTTATATATTAATTTTATTGAGAAAGAAGTAGCAATGAGACAGTTTCAAAACAGGTTGGTAGGACAGTTACAATAATTAATACATTGCATATTGTTGTTTTCACAATAGTTATTCATAGTACAAATTTCCTTTAGGTATTTTTTTTTAGTGGTAAATTCTAATGCTCTAGAATTTAAAATATGCATTTACAATTAATCAAAACCCACCTCACAAGTAGTATGTTTGTAATAAAACAACACTAATTATACTTTCTATTCCTTAGATCATTGCTGTCATCCATTTTATTTCTATATAAGTATACATAATCAAATACACTGTTGCTACTATTATGTGAACAAACTATGTTAGAGCAATTAAAATAAAAAAAATGTTTATTTTACCTTTATTCTTTTGTCTTCTTTTCTTTATCTGAGTTTCTGACCTATATTATTTTCTTCTTTTTGAAGAACTCTTCAATATTTTTGCACATTAAGTCTATTGGCAATAAACTTTCTCAATATTTGCTAAGAAGGTCGCTCTTTTTTATTTGTTTTTTATTGTGCTGGTGAATCAAACCTAGGGCCTCATGTATGCTAGGCTGACACTTCACCACGGAGCTGCATCCTCAGCCCCTCTCCTTCATTTTTTGAAGATAATTTTGTAAAATGTTCATTTTGTATACTCACTCTTCTCCTGCCCTTCAAAAATATTTATTAAGAATGGGGTATCAGGCAGTGTCCTACTGCTTTACCTTTAGTTAATTCCTACAACTCTGAGAGGCAGACATCTTCTGTTACAGAGGCAAAAGCTAGAATGAAGAGAGGTACATTAACTAGCCCAGGGATACACAGCAAGTAAGTGGCTGAACCTAGATTAAAATCTATTCTTAAAATTTTGGCCTCCTCCTTTCTTTAATGGAATCAACTATTTCTTCATATCTAATTTCAGGAGAAAAGCCTTGATGCTGGTGCTCAAAGTACCTTACAGGGAAGATGCGCACATGAAGGCCTGGGTCATCGGGACACTAAACTGTCTTCTCAGGAGAAAAACAGTGAAGCTCTGGTAGGTTGAGATAATGCCTTTGGGTGTTTGTTTTCGTATGTGGTGCTTTCAGTTCAAGCACGCTTTTCCTTGACAAGCAAGGATACTGTAAGTGTGATGACTGTCACTAACTTACACACCTAACATGGTCAAAATGAAAAACTTTATAATACATATTTTCTATTTTATCACAAAAATGAAAACAAAAGCCAAGGGAAACAGATAATTTCTTAAATTGTATTCTCATACTCGGATTTTTCTGGAGTATGGACAAAACTGAGTAAGATCCAAAGGAAGAACTTGGTTTTTGACATAATAGCCTTTCATTGTATACTTTAATTACATTTGCCTTTTTTCATCAGTGCAAATATATACAAGAGGAAAAAAATCAATTATTAGAGTTGTGCTATCCAATGGGGTAACTGTAAGCCAAATGTTATCAAACCCTGAAAATATATCTTGAATTAAGTTATATTGTGATATATCAGAGTATACGAAAACATAATCACTAATGATTTGTATTTAAGCATGAGTATGTCTTGAAATGATTAAATAAATTGGTTAACTAAAATATCTTATTAACATCAATTTTACCTGCCTCTTAAAAATGTTGCTACTAGAAATTACAAATATAAGGCTTGAAGTATTTATTTATTATTTATTTATTTCTGAGACAAAGTCTTATTGTGTAGTTCAGGCTGGCCTTGAGTTCACTATGTAGCGCAGGCTGGCCTCAAACTCACAGCAATCCTTTTGCCTCAGCCTTCTGAGTGCTGGGATTACAGGCAAGAGGCACAAGGCCTGGCTTTGAACTGTGTTTTGACTAGATGGCACTGGTGCACATTCGATCTTGCATAATGGTTGAGAGCACTGATTTTTTTTTTAGCTCAATGCTTTACTAGTTTTGTAACCTTGGGCAAATGACAACCTCTCTGTGCTTGAATTTCCCACTCAGTGACATTTTCTGGGATGGTTATGAGTATTAAGTGAAGGACTGACATGTCAGTGCTGAACTGGTAGTAGTATAAATGTGCCTTTAGATACAGTACAAGAATCTATGTGACAAAGACTCTATTAGCTGGGAGTAGGCCTTAATAATTCATTGGGATTTGGGACTCCTTTTCACACTGATAATCCAGGTGTACTTACTCTTTTAGATGGTGGGAAACCCTTAACCCTATTTATTCTCCAGTCTTTCCACCAGTAATGTTTCAACGTACACATTTGGTTCAGAAATTAGATATGAACACTTAAAAGGTTGAGTCCACAGCAAAAGTATAAGCTTGCTATTAATTGTTTTTAACTTACTCTTTTCCCAGAAACATATGTGCTTTTTCCAACCTCACGTTCTTCTTTTTTTTTTTTTTATCATCACAGGTTCCTAATGCTCCACCTACTTATGAGAAACTCTCTGGAGAACACTCACCACCACCTTATTCACCCTGAGAGCCAGTGAGCTGCCTGAGAAAAGTTGAAATAATTTCTCTCACATTTTAGTTTTAATTTAGCACAGACACCTAATATTCTGCTTTAGGATGCTGTGACAACAATGTGCATCTCTAACACACTAGTGTTAATCCCCCCCCCCCACCCCGGTCTTTTTGAGTTAGGGTTTTACTATTCAGTTTAGGCTGGCCTTGAACTCACTTTGTAGCCCAGGCTGGACTTGAACTTGCAAGCAATCTTCCTGCCTCAGCCTCCTGAGTGTTGAGATTACAGGCATGCACCACCACACCTAGCCTAAGCCAGTATTAAATTCTAAAAAGAGTAACTAGCAGTACTAAACAAGTCAGGAAATAATCAGATATATTAAAATGAAAAATTATCATCAATAAGCTGCCATACCTGGTCTCTGTGCTAGTAGTAATACTATTAAACTTTAAACCTTTCATTCTTGGAGGAATGGATTAAACTCAAATGGGTATTCTGGAATCATCTGATTTTTTTAATGAAGATTTTGCTCATTTACCAACTATTCAGGTTTGTTAAAGAAGTGATATCCTGACAAGCATGAACTGCACACAGAATAGTGGCAGGTGCTATGTTTATGACAGACAGAGCTAATGGACCCAGTTATCTCATCTGTACCATGTCAACCATGTTGCTTTGAGTTCGAAAATTCTATGACATTGTAATATACTATAAAGATACTATATCTTAAGTACTGCACGCAATGCCTTTCTAATTACACTTTAATTCAAGACTCAATGCTATTGTAATTAATAATAGGAATTTTGTTTTGGGCCAGTGAGAGAGCTCAGTGGTCTAACGTGCCTGCTTAGGCAAGCTTAAGCAAACCCAGGGACCTCGGTTTGATCCCTGGCACCACATGCCACACCAGCCCCACCCCCAGGGCGGGCTGAGCTGGCCACAAAAAAAAAATTAGTTTTAACTGAAAATGATATTAAAGTAAATGAGAATGTAGCTTGTTCTGTATTTTATCTTAAGTGCTCCACTGGCAGTTTAGTTCTTTTTAGTTTCTAAATCCTTCTCACAAGAACACACACAGAAAAAAAAACCAGAGCTGATCAGAAGTTCTGGAGTGATATCATTATTTTCATTAACGTTTTGCAATATCTTCTCCACTTATCACTTATGCAATTTTTTTTTAGTCAGCTCCATCAACTTTTTTGTGTGTACTTAGGATTGAACTCATGGCCTTCACATTGAGCTACCATCCCAGCTCATCATTTTTTATTTGAGACAGAGTCTAAGTCACTAAGCTGTCCAGGTTGGGCTCAAACCTGCCATCCTTCTGCCTCAGCCTCCCAGCGTACTGGGATTACAAGTGCATATCACTGTCTGACTACAAAATCTGTATCACCACCCTAAGTGGAAAAATCAGCATCATTTCTCATAAGTCCAGGAAATGTAAAAGTGAAGGTAACAAAAGCAGATTATTTTTATTCAAACCTAGGAAGATAATAATGGTTGTAGATAACTGGGAACCCAAGACTTGCTTTCTTTGTTAAAGAGGATTAACAAGAACTGGAGAAAACATAAAAGCTGTCCTTGACACATTAAGATGGTCTGCAAGTTTTAAAGAAATGTAACTGTTATTTAACGTTGAGTCAGTAAAGCACTGAACATCATCTTGTGCCACAGGATACATAAGCACAACACTAACATTTTCCACCAAAGACAAGCTCAGACTGAGGGGGAAACACAGAATAAAAAAGTGACATTGAACAAAGTATTAAAACATCTTACCAACTATCCTGATTCTGTCATTTGCTAGCATTTAAGCTACTCCCCCGCCCCCTTCAAAAGTGATTTCTAAATGAAGAAAACGTCCTCTGGCATTCGGCCCCCTCTTCCCCTCGTCCACAGACCTCATCTGGACTCAGTCCTCCGCATCTACAGAAGAGCTCTGGACCACCCTGAGACTCCCACACTGCCAGCTGCTGCCAGCTCTCTCCACATGCAAGGCTCTCCTCACAGGGTCCCTCACGTAGGGTCCCACCTGTGACGGACAGTGGCTCGGGCTGAGTCTGGCAGGGAGAAACTAGGAGAGTGAGTAGGAATAGGAGATGTGAGATTCAGAAAGCAGCACATCTGTATTGCTAGCACTTGGGAGGGTGACGCGGGAAGATGGCAAGTCTGACCCTACTCTGGGGAACTTAGCAAGACCCTGTCTCAAAATAAAAACTAAAATAGGACTTGGGATGTAACTCAGTGTGAAAGTTCTTGGTTCAATCCCCAGTACTGGAGGAAAAATGAAGGCAGCCGCCACTTCTAAAAACAACTCACAATGCATTTTATATTTCAAAATAGCAAGAAAGGAACTTGCAAATATCAATTATAAAGAATGAGAAAGCTATGATTATGCTAATGGCCCTAAGCTGGTCATCACTCAGGATGTCCATGACTTAAAACAACATGCTGCACCACATAAATATGTACCCGTGTTATGCGCGGAAACGAAGGAAAGAGTTGGATCATGTTCCATGAGAAAAGAACTACAGAAGGCTCGTTGGTAGCTTGGCTAAGAGAAAGTTCCTTAAGCTAAGTGAAGAAAATGCTAACCAACTGGCTGAAGCAGAGTTCAAATGCCAGGCTTTCCCAGATGGCCCTTCTGTTCCGCATCCAGCTTTGGGCAGACCTAAGAGTAACTGGGGATCCTCTGATCACCAGGTCCCTAAGCCAAGGGACAGGTTAAATTGTAAGAGCCACAGTAGGTTTGATTCAGGTTAATAGAATCAGACCTGTTTTTCTTTCTTAAAAATAATGGAACTTTTTTGGTTAAACTGCCTTTTCTTTTTCTTTTCTTTTTGGAGACAAGGTCTCACTCTGTAGTTTAGGGCGGCTTTGAACTATGTAGTCCGTCTCATTTAGTCCTCAAGCAATACTGCAATATAACTGAATGATTTCCGTCTTACATGCAATTGTTACCACCTTTGCTTCAGAGGTTTCTCCAGTTACTTTTAGACTATTTTTCAGTATTTGACCACCACTCTTTTTAAAATCATTCCTCATTGGCCCTCTTATAGTATTCCATTCAAACTCAGTCAGTGTGTTCACTCTGCTTCTCAGACTGAATCACTGCAGACCTGCTTTTACACAAATTTTCAGTCCCCACACAAATGCTACCTCTTACCCCAAACTTTCTCTCCCACCTCCTGGCTTAGTTCTTTTAGTTCTTTATTCCCCTTACATTTACTTTTAACTTCACAATTTCATTATTTCCTATTAAGGACAGAGCTGGGATATTACTCATCTATAGTGTTCCCACATCTTCTGCATTGTATAGAACTCAATAAAGGTATAGAATTAATTTACAACTTCAGTGGGTGCTTTGAATTTGTCAATAATTTAAAAATATTTTACATATATAAAACACACTATTTTAGTACATGTGCTGTTGAATCACAAAACACACACACACACACAAACACACACATTGTTGATTCCCTGTTAACTTTATGTATTGTTTCATAATTATAGATTTCTCAGATTATCTCACTGAATTAAATGAAAGGAAAATTCTCCACTTCTCTACCTATACCACGCTTTTCAGGTTTTCTAAGCATCGGAGCACCGTGCTGTACACAGTAAATGCTTACTAAGCATGTGAATATAAGTGAAGAGAGCAGGTTATGCAGCACAGCCACAATAACGCTTCTGGCTCAGGTAACAAATCTCTCGGACGGCTTAAAATATCACCTTTAGGTGATGGTCACTTGGGATAACTGAAACCTGCATCCAAGTTCTTATTTGCCTAACTTGCCATTTTCTCAAGTTTTTTATATCAAAAGGCTCTAAATTTACTATTTCTTTTACAACTGTTTCACTGGATCAAACATTTTCATTGACCTTAGTATATATATTATAGCTATCATTACCTTAATTAAAAAACTATGTCAATTACTAAATGCACCATTAAAACTAGTGGCTTAAAATGAAAGCAGTGGGCTGGCGAGATAGCTCAGTGGACTAAAGCACCTGCTTAGGCAAGCTTAGGCAATTGCAGGGACCACGGTTCAATCCCTGGCACCACATGCCACACAAGTCTTGCCCCCAGGAAGGGCTCAGCTGGCCACAGACTCCAGGTGTGGTGGCACATGTCTGTAATCCCAGCGCTGGGGAGGCTGAACACACAGGAGGATCACCACGAGTCCCAGCTGCGTAGTGAGACCCTGTAACAACCAAATATGTTTTTTTTTTTTTTTTAAAAGATCTAAAGAACCACTTAGTAATGCATACATAAGCTAATCACAAAGGCAAAAGAAAAAGAACCAAAGGAGCTGAAAGGGAAGCACTCCATCAGAAGGTGGTATGTTACTCTGGCATCTTTTATCATTTAAAATGATATGGAATACAGACATCCACATTGTCCATCTACACGTGGGACACAACCTCTTCTGGACCACCAATGTCCTCAGGGAGCATGCTGTTAGCTTTTCTTGCTTTCTATGTATGGTTTTACAGATGATCTTATTTTTTTTTTTTTTTTTTGGTATTTAGTTCAGGGTCCACAGGGTCTCACTACACAGATTGAACTCCTAGTGAGCCTCCTGTTCTCAGCCTCTCAAGGGCTGGGATTTCAGGCGCGGGCAACCACGCCCAGTCTCAGCTATCCTGCACTCCGGGGTGGTAGTTGGCCAGCATGGCACGCCGGGGATTAAACCTAGGCCCCTGCATCTGCCTAAGCAGGCACTTTAATCCCCTGAGCTATCTGGCCAGTCTCAGATGATTTTTAAAAAATACTTCATAGTAACACTAGACAAAAATAGCCAAGGAATTTGACTTTATGATTCTTTAAGAACACAGAAATCTACACCTACTAAGTGGAGACAAAGGAAAACATTTAGAATTTTGAATATATAAAACCATTAATTTAGCTAAATTTCTAGGAAAAAAGTATTCTTAAAAACTAGAGTTTAGTAACAACCTTTCTGGATTTCTCAATCACTTATTCAACAAATATATATTGAATAGTGTGCACCATTTGCTAGACAGACAGTGGCTTATAAGAGGAGACATCTAGGAAGCCCTAGATATGTCTCAAACTTTCTAGGAACTAAAATACTAGTGTTTTTAGCAGTGAATAAGGAGACTAG